GCAATTTCCAGAGCAAAGATACATCTCTTTCAAAAGTGGCTATAAAATTTTTAGGTTCACAGTTGAATTAATACAGTTATACAATATCGAACTTGGTATAAACCCTGTAAGACATAAAATCGAATGAGTTTTTAACCTTTAAAAAAGGAAGAGCCTTTCTTTCATAGACTTGCCTGAGCTGGCCTGAGAGGAGAGATGGGGTAGAGATGGAGAGCTTGGAGCTGGAGGTGTTAGGAAGACAGATAAAGGGAGTAAAGGGCCAGGTCACCTGCCAAGGGCTGACTAGGGGCTACTTAGGAAAGGTAAAGGGAGTCTGGCCACTCTGACCTACTCAGATTCATGACATGTCAGCCTTGAAGCAATGTGTGGCTACTGACTTCCCACCCCAAGGGCCTGAGCAGAGTGTCCGTGTGAAGCCTTTCCTAAAGTCAGATTACAATTCATACGCTGATTCCATCAATGCCCTCTGGGTTGGGAATGGGTACTATAGGCTTGAATTTAGAGCCATAAACCCTAATTCTGAGATTTCTGCTTCAGAACAAAGGAAATTCCAATCCAGTTCAAGTTCATAGCCAATGTCTGCTAGGGAACCTCTTCTAGTGTGAGAACTCTGTCTCCCTCTGCTCTGACCCAGGGAGAACTGAGCTCCTATCAATACACCATGCAGGTCTGTATGCTGTGGAAGTTGCCAGGGTGGACAAAGTTGGGGGAACCCATTAGGATCACTTAGACCTAGAGTCACACAGGGCAGAAAAAGTCAGCAGGGAGCATTAGCTTTTCTGCACTTTCACAGTGCAGTTGTTTTTAAACCTGAGTCTGAACTGCGCTCTGGTTGTTTTAAGTTCTTTTGAGAATGAACATGCCTTGATCTGTCCTCACAGGCTGAAGACTCTGATGGGAACTGTCTTTTCAGAGAGGACTCTGGCCTTGAATGTCACCAGGGCCTGTCCAGTGTCTGTGGCAGAGTATAGACACGCTTCCTTTGTTGTGAGGCCCCAGTCTTCTTGATACCCGAGCAGCCCCCCAGGAACCAGGACATTCCCTGCGAGTCCCTGCCACTCGCTGGGGTGGGGACAAAGCAGGGGATCCTTGAGACAGGTCTACAGAGCAGGCCAGATGGCAAGGCTGGTGCGGAAGATGACACCTCCTCTTAGTGACTAGTGCACTGCAAACAAGAGTTGGGACTTTCCATATCCCAGTAATGGCAGCAGCATTACTCTGTGTCATTTTTCCATGGTCTAATGAATCTATGGTAGAAGAAAGCATTTCATGAAAGAGTTTTTAGTGTATTTGAAAAAAAAACCACCCTTTAGCCAGATGGATGAGAAGTGACTTTTTTTCCAGAGTATCTGTATGTTTTTGGACATTCTAGCAAAGCAAAAGTCTAGAAATGTCAGTTTGCTAAAAGCAGGGCAAAACCACATTCTCTCCCTGAAGAAACCCTAGAGCTGAGAGGGGAGCTGGATGTGTCTCTTTGGACTACAGGAAGGCAGCACTGCCATCTGGACATAGACAAGCCTGGAGGGGACATCAGAACTTAGCTCTACGGGAGGTCCTGGCCCCCTTGTGATGACACAGGGAGATGCAGACAAACACAGACTTGTCAGCCATCGGGGGTCGAAGCATTTTGGAAAAGTGCTGGGTGGCTTCGAGCTTTTAGAATCCATCTCGGTGCACGGATCTAAACCCTGGCAGTTAAAAGCAAACCTGTCACGGAGCCTGGAAGAAGAGCTACTTGGCGACTCTGGGACTGCAGAAAGTCCAGCCAAGTGCCTGGATCGGTGGTTAGCGGTCCTTCTTCATCACCTTAAGTCAATGTTCTTTTCTAAAGCGCATTTGAGAAAGTGCTTCAAGTCTGAACACTCATCTGTCTTTAGGCCAAGCTCTAAGCAATGTGGCAGTTGGGGAGCATCTGTTATTTATAAGTTCCCTAGGTTGTTTAGTGGTGATAGGAAACTGCTTACTTAGCAAGCTCTGCCGAACTCAGTAAGCCCTCCACACACACAACCATCAGGATCTGTAAAGCCCCATCATCACTAGATCAGATCAAAGATACTGATGGGTTCTTCCAGGGGTGTGGACACTGCCAAGAGTGCCTGAGTTCACTTGCCAAACGTTTGTCAAGTTCACTTGAGCTAAGTCCATCCACCAGGTGAGCCACACAACCTTTCCTCACAAGCAGCTCCTGTTCTACAATCCCCCAGGACATTTAAATTTTTGATTTGTAACAAAGTCATTTTGCGTAGGAATCCCAAGATCTGAATATGGCGGAGCTGGCCATTGTGGGTGAAGGAGCACGGAGGCCAGATCCCTGGTGCACGCACTGGATGGGGAAGAGTCCTCACGGTTTTCAGACTGCTTTAACACTACCGCTGAATCAGCCGTCAAGGACCCTGGTGGAACAAGCTGTGATGTAACCCTCTGACAAGGCTAAGCCAACACCTCTGTACCAGTAAAGCACCTGTATTACCTAAACCGAGTCACAAAATCAGCAACGTATAAGCACATAAACTGCCACTTCACCTTATCTAAACACAGGAAGCTCAGAACTAGTGCTAGCGGGCATTACGAGGCTGAAGTGCTACTTTGTGCAATGAACTCCCCATTCTTCTCTTTGTTTCTGACCCTTCTGCCCCTCCCCCGGCCCCCGTCTCTTCTTTGGAAATTATTTTAACAAAGGAAGTCTTCATCGTCTAATAAACCGACCTACTATTCACTAATGGGCCAAATGCCACGTTCACACACCTCCCCTGAGAGTTCCTGTTCTGGTTTCCAGGAAGACACACCTGTAAGGGCGAAAAAGAAGTCACACACATCAGAGCATCCTTAGGCACGCCCCAGCCCTCCACACAAGTCCGGAAGAGCCGCCCTCACAGTCATGCAGACATAAGTTAGTGGGCATCGGGCAGCTCTAGACACACTGATAATCTCGGGTGATTCTCAGAACCACAGGCAGGAAACAAGTTTTGTGAGGACATATTCAGTCCGTCTCTGTTATTTGTTGGTCTATTATTGCTACATAAAGAATTACTTTAAAAAGAGAAGTGGGAGTTGGAGAGATGACTCAGCGGTTAAGAGCAACTGACTGCTCTTACAGAGGACCAGGGTTCGATTCTCAGCACCCACCGGGCAGCTAACAACGTCCATAACTTCAGCTCCAGGGGAATTCTACTCCCTCATTTGACTTCTGCAGGCATTGCACAGCACAGGTGCGCTTACACACATGTAGGCAAATGCACTCATACACATAAAATAAAAATAAAAAAGAAGAATTTTGAAAGAGGTAAAATTTAGAATAATTTTACCTGATTGAGGAGAGAGTAGAGGGAGGGACACATTAGGAAGACTGAGCAGCCTGGCCCTCAGAAACAGAGACGTGCTACACCGTGGCCCGTCGGGCTAGCCAAAATGCTGAGATGAGGGTTTTGTGAAAGGCCCTGTTTCAAAAAATACGGTGGAGAGTGAGGAAGGTACCTGACATCAACCACGGTCTGCACACACTTGAGCATGGGCAAGGCCCCTGTGCATGCACACGCGCGCGCGCACACACGCGCGCACACACACACACACACATACATATGCACACATGCATAGATATACATGCTTACACCACACACAAATACACACACATGCATGGACAATGTCCAAGAACTTGGAAGAATAACCAAGTTATCATACATCCAAATAAAAAATTTACAGTTTTGCTATGTGTGGATTAAATGATACTCATTAGTGCATTTAACTGTCCATACAGAGTAGCATAGCCATAATATACAGACATATGTTTCAAACCATTCTAGAGAATTATTTCCATATGATGGCATTATGGTGGCTGTTTTGATTTTTTTTTCTGTAAGCTTTTCAAATTCTGGAGTGAGAATAAATTACTTTGAAAGTCGGAAATAATCACTGGGTCACTGTAAATAAATTAAATGTAGGGGCTGGAGAGATGGCTCAGTGGTTAAGAGCACTGACTGCTCTTACAGAGGACTTGGGTTTCGTTCCCATCACCCACATGGCAGCTAACAACTGTCTATAACTCCAGTGCTAGGGGATCCAATGTGTTCTCCTGGCCTCCACAGGTACTGCAAGCATGGGTGTGCTTACATACATGCAGGCAGAACACTGATACACATAGAGGAAAAATAAATAAATAATAAATAAATGCAGAGGGGGCATCCAGTGCTCCTTCCTCTAGTGTCCCCCAAAGCATTAAAAGAATGTGAAGAAACCTGCACCCACAGATGCTGAAGGACCAGGTGAACCATAACGGCAGCGGAGAGATGCGGTCTTCCCCTAACAAGGTCTCAGTGGCTACACCGCAGGACTTCATCCATTCCTTCTCAACTGCAGCTCTCCGTAGTCTTGACAGCTCCCTCCCGAGTTTCATTTTCTCCTGAATTTTTCCTCAGATACCTAATAATTAATTTGAAAGTCCTGTTCCCAGCTCTGATTCTGGGGCCTGAAAACCATTTTGTTGCTGTTTACACCTCTTGGTGAGGCTCATGTTCCTTCGAGCATCTCAAATGTTGTGGTACCCGAAACATCGCACACTGAAGGGCAGTCAGTGTGAAATTTTGTTTTGTTTTTACTTGTTCCTGGAGAATGCTATCTCTTCCCTGGGTCTGATGAACAAAAAGGAGAAGTATCCACTCAAGTCTTACCAAAAGTCATGGTGAAGCTAGGCCAGGCCAGTCTCGGCAGTGTGCACCTCACCTGAGCCACAGTGAGTGACGGGTGCCCCAGCCAGCCTCAGCACTGACAGCCCGTGGAGAGAACATCTACTTATTTCACACATGCCTGTGATCCAGGCGGTTGGGTTGGGCTGCATGAGGCCCCAAGTTCAAGGAATCGGAAGGACAGGAGGCTGCAAATTCTGCTTCTTTGTCTCACTTTACTACCTTTTAAAAATACAAAATTGGTGTAGTACCAAGGATTATTTTCAATATAAACAAGTCTCCATTTCCTTTGGTGATTTTCCAGCCTCTAATCCCTCCCCCCTTGTCCGATGCTGCTGATGGCCTGGCTGAACTCACCTTGACCTGGCAGTCTGCTCGGTGCTGACAGGCTTTCTTCTCCAGCTTCTCTGACTGAGACACCTGCATTTGATCCCAGAAGAGTCCAGGGCACTTTGACTTCTGCGGAAGGCCTCTTCCTGTTCCTCCTCCTCCTCCTTCTGTTCCTGCTCCTCCTCCTGCTCCTCCTCCTCCCTCTCCCTCCCTCCCCCTCCTCCTCCCCCTCTCTTTCCCCTCCCCCTCCCCCTCTCCATCTTTCTCAAGTTTTATGTATCCCAAGCTGAATTCAAACTCACTATGTAGCCAAGGATGACTTTGAATTTCTGATCATTGTTTCTACTTCCTGAGTCCTGAGATTACAGGCACAAATATCACACCCTGAGGATGTGGTCCTGGGGAACTGAACCCAGAGTTCCCTGCATGCTAGGCAAGCACTCTACCATGTGGGCTGCATCTCCAGGCCCTGGAGTGTTGTTATCCTCTGAGACAGCTGAACCAACCAAGCCTTGTTGTGAACATTCTTACAGTCACAAGCTTCTTTGGTTTTTATTTTTCTTCTTTTATTTCTATGATGAGATATAATTAGTATCTAACATTTTTAAATGTCAGTAAGTTTTAAAATGTCAAGCCAAGAATGTATTCTCACAATGAATTCTTCACAGAAGAAATTGCCTGTGGATGGGAATGGGTAATGTTTTCACTGTCCTGTCTCATGTTCAATATTCTGTGTGCCGAGCAAGTGGTGATGAACTTTGAAAGGCCTGTTCTATGTTAGCTGCTCTGGCTCTACAGTGTTGGCAGGTTTTAACAGAGACTTTGGTTACTATTAAATTAGATTTAAAATAATTTGGTGTTGGCATTTACCATAGCAATTGTGTCTGGCCAACACAGCAAAATTACCATGGTGAGCAGTCCTAGGTCATGGCTCTTTTTCTTGCAGGCCAATTAGCTTCTCCCCGTTCTGAGGTCACACATGACAGTCACCCTCCTTCCCACAGTCTTGGCTGGCTATTTGAAAGACATACTGGGTGACAGAATTTGAACACAAATCCATGTGTCAGCCATGCCTCTTATGCCTCTTGTTTAACATAATTCATTCTTCAAGACTCTAATTCTGTGCTGGTGAGATTGCTCAGTGGTTAGAGAAGTGTCAACTGGTAGAAAGAAAAATTGACTCCTGCAACTTGTACTCTGACCCCCCCACATACATACATACACACACATAGATACACATACACACATACATACACATACACACATACACACATGCATACATACATATACCTACACATATATACACATACACACATACACACACATACACACACACATAAATGCAATACCAATTGTTTTTAAAAAGACTAATTCTGCACACACACAAACTCTCAATGCTGAACTCTGATGGGGTCCCCACAGGTGGTGGTACAGAAGACAGCACATTTGCTCAAAGCAAAGTTCTCGTTAAATCACGTTTATATTGTAGGGCATGGTGCCAATGCCTTTAATCCCAGAAACTGGGAGGTAGAGGCAGGGGGTCTCTGTGAGACTGAGGCCAATCCAGTCTACATAGTGAGTTCCAGGCCAGATGGGACTACAGAGAGACCCTGTTTCAAAAAAAACAAAACAAACAAATCATGTTTGTATTAAAGGATTCTTGAGGTCT